ACAAAATGGTGAAGCTGCAACAGTAAATTCACATTTTAGGGTATTTTGTATAAAGAACAGAAATCTCGAGCGTGTTTCTGACATACTCCTTTGTACTTATTCAGGCAGCAAACCCCAATGCTTCCCAAAGGAACTGCCTGCAGAATGGCATTTTATTGCATTCCCCAGTGGCAACCACAAAGTCCTTTTATAAAAGAACACCTGCATTTCATTGACAGCCTTATTATCACCAGAAAGCCACTGACAATAACCACCTCTCTAAATGTGAATACGAGTTCTGTAGCCAGTACTAAAAGCTGCATGAAAATAAAATTAACACTAGACCAATAAGGTAGTAAATGCTACCTGTATATTTACTAAATTAATATTCTCTCACAAGTGACATCATCCATTCCGGATAAAAAAAAATCTGAAGCAGATTTCTAGCACAACACAAATAACCCTACCTGCTCAGAAGTAATCTTTCCAACTCTGTAATCTGGACAGTACAAGGGGTTTGCCAGAGCATTCTTGTAAGCTGCAGCATGCAAGTTTTCCAGCACTCCTAAGAGGAACAAAGTTTCAGTGATGATGATTAATGTAAGAGACACTTGCCATGAAGACTCTGAATGAAACTAAACAAAAGAGCTGTGGTCCACTTTAAGGACTACCTGAGTGATCTTGAATGACTAAAGTTAATAACATAAGATAAAGGGGAATAAGGCTTGATCTGGCTGAGGCTCTGTGTGTGTCTTTCTGTTTTTCCTTAAACACAGGAACCTAAATTTACAACCCTAAAGGTGGAATCCATTTTCAGCGTGATGAAAATACCTGTTGTTTTTATACCAAAATAACCATACATACTCAAGAAGTCTTTTGTAGGATACTGTTTTCACACCAATGAGTAATACCTGGTTTTCACTACACAAGCTGTTGCAAATACATTGTCAACAAGAGTCATGATTTGCACATTCTTTGGTTGTACTCCAGAAGAATTAAAAAGGTAAAATGGAAGCTGTCAAAAACGGTGCAAACTGTCTTCAGCTTGTTACTTGCTAAACGTTATCACAGGCCGGAAAAACCTGTGTATTCAAAAAAGTTTCATAACAGAAAGATCATACCTATCAGCAGGCTGAAAAATTAAATGGTCGTGTGACAGAGCAAAAGGGAAACTATTTTTCCCCACCTCTTTTTCGTTGTGGAGGAACTGTCATAGAGCCAATGCAGTGGATTAGAAAACACACTTACCAACTTGAGGACTCTGAAAAGCGATTGCTTTATCAACTTTTAATTGTGGCTGAAGATCAGCTACTTCCCATGGCCTGAACTCCGATGCTGTGGTGACATTAAGAAGATACTCCATTACTGTATCACTAGATAAAAAAAAGTTACAAAGGCATGAAACACAATACAAGTCACACGTACTTCTGCAGTTCAAACAGATCTGTAAGCAGCACACTAACAACAAAACACATCAGAGCAGTTATTACCACTGCGGTACAAAGTACAAGAATTCAACTTCAATTCTGTAGTGTTCATATGCTCAGGAATATGGCACAGAAGTTGAATATTAATACAGTGATTGATTTATTACAGAAGCACGAGGATATTCCTGCCACCCTGTCAAATGACAGTCCTGGAGTACATGCAGTTGGTACAGGCAGGAATTGCCTTCACAGCACATGCAGATACCTACACATAGTCCCGCAGACACTCCACGGTGTAAGCAATCTTCTCTCTGGTTGAGTACACACTAAAAAAGCAGAAAAAAAGCAAAATCTATGTCAGCAGAGAACATAGAAGTGGATTTTCACACGTTTTCCATATTTATTGAATTCATCAGCAAGATATGGACTGGAATAACCATTTAACCTTAAATCTGCTTGGGATGACTGTTCAAAGGAGTGATAATACAAGCACTGCAGAAATAGATAATTAAAACTCCCGTCTTCAATACTCAAGTAATAACAAGTGTCTTGTGACCAAGAGAATTTAAGATACCACAATAATTCAAGCTAAAACAGTAAACAAGGCAGAATAGCAAACCAAGAAAAATGTGTATATGTAATAAATAAATAAATTTAGAAATTATTCTCTTTGGGCAGAAAACAGCTGGTCCTGTCCTTTTGCTTCAGTGCATTTGTTGTTGACAGGAACAGAGAAGGGGAGAGTCTCAACTGTGTTTTCTAGGTTTTAAACTCTCAAATCACAAAAGCCAACTACTCTCTGAATTGTTCCCAAACTTGCAGTATGATGAATTGGATCTATTCACAAAAGATAGGGAAAAAAAAAACCTACTGACTTCAGCAAGTTTAATCTTAAAGTCTGAAAAGGCAGAAAGAAAATTTAGGCTTTCTGGACAAATTATATTTCTTCCAGGTACACAACATGTATATTTTGCTTACTGAAAGGTCTTTGTAAAATAGAAATCCCGAGTGCACTCTTGAAGCTCAGTAAAATGTGAAGTACAAGATGTTCCTTGACAACATTCACTTTTCAAGTGCCAGTTCCACACTGAGCTTATCCACCTACGTACTGTTGTGCATCTTGTCTTCTGTTCCCTTTAGTCACAGAGCTCATCTGCACCTCACCAAGACAGATTATTTTTCTATGTGGTTACAAACCTCAGGCTGCCCCCAACAGCTTCAATGCCACGAGTAATCCTGAAGGAGGAGGCTCCTTTAGTAGTCTATGAAAATAATAATAATAATAATAATAATAATAATAATAATAATAATAATAATAATAATAATAATAATAATAATAAAAAGGCAACTTACAATTCCAGCTATTTAAAAACAGGTTTGGGGTTGATGGCAGCAATAAGAAAAACTATGCAGAAATATTCCACGCACCTGCACAAAACTGAGTTTGTGTCAGCTACCTAAAATAATTTTTATTGCAGCCTAAATAAAATAATCTAAGTGCAAAGCTCTCTATATATGTGTGTGTGTGGATGTATATACACCATAGGAGAGCATAATTCTAAAGAAGTATTTCTTCCTGTCTTCCAGGAAGTAATGCCATTTCTCCTGCACTCAAACCAGGTAAACAAATACCAGTGTGCACTGTTTTCCACTGTATAGGATTTTACATTCAATTTTTTACTGTAACATCTATTTTTGCAATAATAAACCTCTGACCACTTCATGTACTGCCAACATCATAACACAGGGAATAAACACCTACCAAATTAGATGCAAGACGAAGCAGGTGAGCCGTTCCCAGGTTACTGGTGGTTTCATGTCTGCAGCCTGTTTTAATAAACACACCAATCCTTGAAGCTGGAGAAAAGTTTTCCAGAGATGCAATAACTAAGCCATTTGGTAATTTTGTGATCTGCATTAAAGAGAAAAAAAAAAAAATCTGGTTTAGTCGTTCACTGGAAGTACAATCACAGCTCTGCTTTGACTGAGTTTTAAAAAATAAATTAAAAGGAAAGAGAAAAAAATTACCAGTATTCATACTGACCTCAAGATCCTCAGACTCTGGAGATAATTTCACTTTTGCTGCAGTTGGTGAGCTTTTAACCTTAGGAGCTACTTTAAGTGAGTAAAATCTCTTCTAGAGGAGAAAGCAAAAGAGAATGGATTTCTTTAATTAGTTTATCACATGTTCCATTACGCACTGAAGAAGCAACTAATTTTAAACTAAAAATACAGTGAAGGATTTCAAACCCCAGAGTAAACACAGTGATTCCCTTGTAATTACTCTGATTATTTTTTACATTACTGTTGAAATCTGTGCACTGACCTATACAAGGTTTCTGGAAGTTCAAGAAACAGCAGTGCAGGAAAGCTTTTGTTCTTCCCCTCCCTTTGCTGCTGTGCAGTGGGAATCTCTCCTGTCCTACACAGGACTCCTGCACAGAACTCACTGCACAGCAAGATCCACAAGTGCAGCACCCCAGCTTGGAGATAATTCTCTATTTATCCAGTGTGGGCACTTCAGCTCCTGAACAGTCACCCCTCAGAGCACCAACCTGTCTATGCTGACTACAAGACTATCAATTTCAAATCTGAAATGCTATTCCTTTTCCTCCTCTTTAGAAGTTGCTTATACTTTTAGAATAAGCTTACATATTAAAAAATAACTTCATTCCCATTCGTGTCAAGGTGAAAACTGAGTGACAGCAGCACCACTGCCCCCAGCTGCAGGGATACCAATGATGTAATTCCCCTTGCTTTGCCACAGGCTGTTCAGTGTTTGACTTCCCCCACCACAAACTGGCTATGATACCGAGTTTTAACCTCTGTGCCTGCTTATTTATCAATGACTAAATCACGTCTAAACCAACCACGCTGTCATTCACTCAAGGGGTCATTCTCCCCACTCGAGCGCGTTTCTCGCGGAGCTCGAACCCCGGTTCTCTCCCCGCTGTCCGAGCTCCACAGGAGCCTTTGCAGCAGGACAAGGTGTCTGCCGTCCCGCCTGCGAGACAGGCCGAGCCCCAGCGCCAAGGGCACCGCCGTGTCACCACAAGCAGCCGAGGCTCCCTCTGCGTGGCCGGATCCCCTCAAGGCTGCTCCCCTCTCCCCGGTGCCCCCTCGGGCGCTGCCGGGGACGGCTCCGGTGCAGCTGCGGGAGCCGCTCCCTGCCCGGGCCCGGCCCGCGACCTGTCTGACCTTCACCCGCCGCCGCTCTCCGCCACCCGCCCGCCCCACCCGGCCTGGCCCTGGCGCCCACCGCGCCCCCGCCGCCATCCCCGGCCGGCACCACAGCCCGCCCGCGACCCCCGCCCGGTTCCCGCCCCGAGCCGCCCGGTCAGGCCCGCCCGCGGCCGCCGGGGCGCGGACAGCGGCTGTCACGGCCGACTGTGCCTCTCCCGCGCCGCGCACGGCGCCCCCGCGTCCCCCTCACCGAGAGCGACTGCACGGCCACCGGGAAACCCCTCATGATGCTGCGCCCTCGGCTCGGCCCGGCCCGGCCAGGACAAGATGGCTGCGCCGCAGGGACACCCCCCCCTTCCCGGCACGCCCCGCGCCGCCCTGCCCTTCTGGCGAGCGCAGCCCCAACTCTACTGCTCCGGCGGGGCAGCGGCAACAGCGCCCCCGCGCGGGCACCGGGGGCTGTGCGCCCCCTGCCGGGCACTGCGGGCCGGGAATCCCTCGGGAATGTGGCTCGGGAATATCCCTCGGGAATATCCCTCATAGAATCATAGAATCATAGAATAGATTGGGTTGGAAAAGACCTCCAAGATCATCAAGTCCAACCCCTGATCCAACTCCAATTACTATATCATGGCCCTAAGGGCCACATCCAATCTCTGCTTAAAAACCTCCAGGGATGGTGAATCCACCACCTCTCTGGGTAGGCCGTTCCAATGCTTGATTACCCTCTCTGTAAAGAATTTCTTCCTAACATCTAACCTAAACCTCCCCTGGCAGAGCTTGAGCCCATGTCCTCTTGTCCTATTGTTGGTTGCCTGGGAGAAGAGAGCAACCCCCACCTGGCTATAACCTCCCTTCAGGTAGTTGAAGAGAGTGATGAGGTCACCTCTAAGCCTTCTCTTCTCCAGACTAAACAACCCCAGCTCCCTCAGCCTCTCCTCATAGGACTTGTGCTCAAGTCCCTTCACCAGCCTGGTTGCTCTTCTCTGGACCCGCTCCAGCACCTCAATGTCCTTCCTGAACTGAGGGGCCCAGAGCTGAACACAATACTCAAGGTGTGGCCTCACCAACGCAGGGTACAGGGGAAGGATCACTTCCCTGCTCCTGCTGGCCACACTGTTCTTGATGCAGGCCAGGATGCCATTGGC